TGTGGTAGCTCATCTCTGTAGCCGGTTTGCTGTATATACCGGGATGCCTTTTTTAGATCCAAAAACTGTCAGTAAAGGTTTATGGTCTGTAAGTAAGGTGAACTGCCGACCAAACAACATCTTGTGGAACTTTTTTACAGCAAATATAATCGCGAGGGCTTCTTTTTCTATTTGACTGTAGTTTCTTTCAGTCATAGTCAGAGATCTCGCAGCGTGAGCGATTGCTTTCTCAGAACCGTCAGGGTAGGCATGTGAAATTACTGCTCCAATTCCGTAGTTCGACGCATCTGCTGCGACTATAATTGGAAGATCGGGATCATAGTGTGTAAGGAGAAGATTCGATGATAGAAGCTGCTTCAGTTTTAGGAATGCTTCTTGGCATTCAGTTGACCAGAACCATTTAGTATCCTTTTACAATAAGCAATTAAGAGGAGCACGATGGCGATGCAGATCTGGCAGAAAAACTCCATAATGACTAACCATTCCCAAGAAAGAACGTAAAGTTGACACATCCGTCGGTGGAGGCATGGACTTAATGGCTTCGACATTTTCAGGATCAGGTTTTCTCCCGTTTTTATCAATTATGAATCCCAAATACCGGACTTGCCCCATGTAAAAATCACATTTTTCGGCACGCAGTCTTAATCCATAATCTGCTATGCGTCTGAGAACCGTATCCACCTTATTCTCTAAATCAGCATAGTCTGTACCCATGATCAATATATCATCGAGATAAGCCGCGGTACCAGGAATGTCTTGTAACATAGTGTCCATAACTTGTTAGAAGATTGAAGGGGCAGTCTTTACTCCAAAAGGAAGTCGGTTATATCGGAACAATCCCTTGTGAGTGTTTATTGTCAAGTAATGCTTACACTCATCCGCTACCGGAATCTGTAGATAAGCGTCTGATAGGTCTAATTTCGCAAAATACTTACCCCCATTCAGTTTCGCAAATAAATCCTCTGGTACCGGCAATGGGTATTGATGGGCTTCAAGCGCTTCATTTAATCCAGTCGAATAATCTGCACATAACCGGATACTTCCATTAGGCTTTTTAACAATCACTATTGGAGCTGCCCAATCAGAAAAGTTTACTGGTTCGATTATTCCACTTCTTTATAGACGCTCTAATTCTTGTTCAACAATAGGTAGTGCTGCATAGGGTACCGGACGTTTTGGTCTGAAGACGGGGGTGACTCCCGGTTTAAGAATCAATAGTGCTTTAACCTTTTTGCATTCCCCCAACTCTTCCGTAAACACTTGGCTGTGTCTTTCCAATACAACACTCTTCAGATCCTTTTCCACCGGTTTACTGGTTCTCACTGCGCTGCATATGTAGTTAATGGGGTGATTTGCTAATTGAATTGCTTCTATCAAGTCTAGACCTAGCAAATCTAGTCCTGGATTCTGTGTAAGATATAAAGTTGCATTCGTTTTCGCATTTCCCTTCGAGACTGTACAACAAACCTCTCCAACAATATTTAGTTTTCCTCCAGATGCGCTGTGAGCGAACTGGGTTGTTGGGAGCACCTGTGGTTTACCGATAAGATTCCAAGTTCTCCGACTAATAAGTGTGATGTCAGAAGCGGTGTCGAGTTGCAGGCGGGCACGCTTTTTATTTATATCCAAGTTTACATACTTTCCTTGGCGGCAAATTCGTGCTCGATTATGTGATACCAATATTTTGTTAGTTCGAGCACTAAATCTGTATTTCTTCGAGTAGGGTTTCATAGAATGTCGTTTATGGGTTCTTTTTCTGCAGCAGTTTTCTTTATGTCCCTTGCGATGACACTTGCTAAACCAATGCTCTTTATATGGACAGAACCTTTTATAATGCCAACCACCACAAGACCAACATGGAGATGAAGGCTGATTATCTGTGTGCGATGCCTTTCTTGAGCAAGAATCGTTCTTTCCGCTTACAGCACGAACGTATGGCAACTGGCCATTATTTTCGACCATCGAAGTGTCATGCTTTAGGTTCACCAATCTCTGGCACTCTGTGGTTACTTCTTGTAGTGTCATATTCGGACATTGTTCAATTTTACTCAAAATTCTAGTTCTAATATCGGCATCTTCGGGAGATTGGAGGCTGCACACAAATACGAGACACTTAAACTGGTCTTCTGTCATTGCTGATAGTTTGAAACGCTCACATTCACGGTGTGGTGGACCAAAAAGTATAATAACCAAAAATCAGTGATAAAGTTATTACGTCCAAAAATTAATGTAACAATAATAATTTATAAATTAACAACACAAATTAAAAGTTCAGGGACGTTACTTAAATCGGCTAGTGGTTGCGTATTCTGTTGAGTTTTGGTCCCATAAATCCACAATTATAAATGTGTAATAATTCCACAGAGATAAATATGACGCCAATAAGTTTCTTTGACGTAGGATATGATGGAAATGACACAGCAGTCTAAAATAAGGATAATATCCAGTTTAGAACACAATTGACGCGGTAACGAGCGAGAATAGAACGATGCGTATGTGCGTAGTAGTGTATCTGCGAACCACCGAAAGTATATCACGCTATGTCCGAATTACAACGGAAAAGGTCTTCAAGGTCATTTTCTTAAACAACAGGTACAATCATTTAATGATAAATGTACATTCAGTGAGAAATTGACAAATACAAATATTAAAAACTATTTACAAGATAAGCTTGTCAGACCTATCTCCACATAGCTCCCCCCAGAGTGTCCGGAGGTTACACTGGTTAAAATAAAAAAAAATGTAAGAATATGATATATGTGTATATACAAAAATAATATTCACGGTTATAACCAACAAAAGTTGTAGAGATGGATATGACATATACATTAATAAGATGGAGTGTGTTATCGTTTGAGAATAGCAATAATGTAGCATAGCATAACGAATACAAAAAAAAAGGAAATACTGTCATTTAATGTCTTGTTTGGCTAACAAGGATAATAATGTGTAAAACTTTTAATAACCCACACACACAAAAAACAAAATTGAGCTGTTTTTGTGTATAATGAATAAATAATTAAAAAGAGTTTACCCGTTTATTATTGTTACAATTTTTATTTTTTAAAAAAATGTGACAAAACGAATAATTGTGGAAAAAATGTGATTAATTATGAACACTGTGAAAAGAAAAAAAAATTTTTTTTAGATGGGATTAATAGTGTAGGTCCTCGATAATTGTTTGCTTTGATTGTTTTATTTGTTTTTTTTTATATGGCAAAATGTACATAACGCTTTGGTTTTTTTATAAGTCTCCCAGATCGTGTTAAACAAGAGGGTGTGGTGCTAAGTTTTTCCTCTTCCTCTTGTTTCTTAGCCATTGATAGGAGTGATTGTTTGTTCTCAGTATTGTCGTCTGTGGCTTTTGGGACTTCGTAGAAAGCTGGTTTTATTCGGTCAATGGAAATTGTCTCCTTGTTCCCATTTTTATTGATAATGAAATATTTGTGAGTGCGTTTTATTACTTTATAAGGGCCTTCATACGGTGGTGTCAGTGGCTTTTTTACCGCGTCTACTCGAACAAAAACAAATTTGCATGCTTCTAAATGTTTATCGAGATGGACTCGGTTGTTGTATTCTCGAGGTGGTATTGCTCTAATGTTCTGCATCATTTGTAATAGGCGGCTTGCGAAGTGAGTAGAATCCCCGTGCGTTGTAGGTTCATAGTTGACTAGTTGGCCGGGTAACGTTAGAGTTGTGCCATAGACTAACTCGGCGGCTGTACATCCAATGTCTTCCTTTATAGTTGAACGAATACCAAGGAGTACAAGCGGTAAGGCATCGCTCCACTTTGATGAGTCAGCTTGCGCCATCAGTGAGCTTTTTAATTGGCGATGGAATCTTTCAACCATGCCATTAGCTGCTGGGTGGTAAGCTGTGGTTTTAATATGATTGACCCCTAGAAGTTTAGTGAACTCCTGGAAAAGGACAGATTGAAATTGGGGACCACGATCTGTTGTGATTATTGATGGTACTCCATAGTTAGTTATCCAGCGGTCGAGGAAGACTGAAGCGACTGTTTCTGCTGATGTGTCTTTAATGGGGCATGCTATGGCCAATCTTGTGAACCTATCTATTGCGGTGAGGATATGTGTGAAAGAGTTTGATGGTGGCAGAGGCCCAACTAAATCTAAATGCACGTGCTGGAAGCGTTTGTCAGGGATAGGGAACTTCCCAATCGGACTGTAGGTGTGTTTTTGCGTCTTACTGCGTTGGCACTGGAGACAGTTACGTGTCCAACGTTTAACATCCGAGTTGATTTTAGGCCACACAAAACGTTCGGTAATGAGCTTTGTTGTTGCTCTGATGCCTGGATGTGAAAGACCATGTAAATGCTGAAATATTTTTCGTCGGCAAGCGTGTGGGACAAACGGACGATTGTTGCCTGTTGAAGTGTCGCACATGATAAATGTATCTGAAAGAGGAATCGGTACAGGTTTGAGATCTAAGCTAGACTTTTCTTTGCAGGCTTTCAATTCTGCATCGTCTGCTTGTAATTTAGCTAAGGTTTCAAGGCTGATGTCATGATTGAGTACCATCGTATTGATATCCCTCCTAGATAGTGCATCTGCAACAATGTTCATGTGACCTTTGATAAACCTGATGTCTGTGGTAAATTGGGAGATATAATCAAGTTGTCTTGCTTCTCGTGGAGAGTGTTTGTCATACGATGTGCTAAAAGAATGGCAAAGAGGTTTGTGATCTGTCATAATGATGAAATCACGACCCTGTAGCAAAAAGTTGAAATGTTTTACTGCTAAATACATAGCTAAGAGTTCGCGTCCAAAAGTACTATAACGTTCTTGTGCTGGCGATAATCTCTTGGAGAAAAAGGCAATGGGGGTGATAGTGTTGTCTACCCGCTGTTGTAATACTGCCCCGACGGCTTTTTGTGAAGCATCCGTGCATAGGATCAACAGTGTTGTGGGGTCAGTATTTAGGTGTTGAAGCATGGTAGCATTAGCAATCATGGATTTAGCTTTTTCAAATGCTATTTTGGCATCGGGAGGTAACTTGAATATTTTGTTCTTTTCTTTCTTGGTACCTGATTTATCGTTTTTCAGTAAATCTGTCAATGGCTGTAGTACATCAGCACAATTTGGTAGAAATCGTCGATAGAAATTACATGTTCCGAGAAAACGACGTAGTGATTTTACTGAGGTTGGTTCTGGATAGCTGGAGATAGCTTTGACTTTCTCTTCAAGCGGTTTAATTCCTTGGGAATCAATGTGGTGTCCCAGGAATTCCAGAGATGAGGCGCCAAATATACATTTCGAAGGGTTGATTACAACGCCATAACTTTTGAAACGTTCAAAAAGTGTGTGTAGGTGCTGAAGATGTTCGTCAATGGAAGAACTAGCGATTAAAACATCGTCGATATAGACAAATACGAAATCCAAACCTCTAGTTACTTCGTCCATAAATCTCTGGAAGGTTTGAGCGGCGTTTTTTAGTCCGAAAGGCATCCTCAAGAACTCAAACAAGCCAAAAGGTGTGATTACGGCTGTTTTCTCGATATCCTCAGGTGCCATCGGTATTTGATGGTATGCTCGGACTAGATCTAACTTTGAAAAAATCTGTTTTCCATGTAGATTTAAAGAAAAATCATGCAGGTGAGGTATCGGATACCGGTCTGGGATAGTCTGGTTATTCAAACGGCGATAATCTCCACATGGGCGCCAGTCTTGATCTTTCTTTGGAACCATATGCAGCGGCGAGGCCCAAGGACTGTTGGATTGTCTGATTATCCCAAGTTGCATCATATGTTCGAATTCTCTCTTAGCGAACTGCAACTTGTTTGGAGGGAGTCTTCTCGCCCTGGCGCGGATAGGTGGTCCTGTAGTAGTAATACTGTGTTGGACATGATGTGTGGAGCATTCGTTTTGGTAATCAGCTCTGGTTATACTTTCATACTTCGATAGAATATCGGTGAAAATCTTGTTTTCAGGTCTTAACATACGGACTCCATGAATTTCGTAACTGGAGATAGTTGTGCCACTGACCTGTAAGCTTGTGTTTTTGTCGATTAGTTTCTTTTTTGCCATATCTACAAGTAGGTTGTAAGCACCGAGAAAATCGGCCCCGATAATGGGTTGTTTGATTTCAGCTACGATGAAAACCCATGTGAAACGTCTCCGGAGACCGAGATCTAAAATAAGTGATTGTTCGCCATAAGTCTTAATGACTGTGTTATTGGCTGCGACTAGAGACAATTTAGTACTCTGAGGGTGCCGTCGTTGAGAGAGGTGTAATGGGATAATGCTGATTTCGGCTCCCGTATCGACCAAAAAATCTGAGCCCGAAATTCGATCCCTGACATGAAATAGACGGCTCGGGTAGTGGCCAGAAACAGGCGCCGCCATCACTGTCTGGCCGGGCCGTTTCCCTGATTCTCTGTGTCAGACGCAGAAAATGTGCACGGTCGTGTACAACGCCGTGCTTTGGTGCCGTATTTTTGGTGGTACCAACAAACATCAGATGTTCGCTTCGGTGACCTAGACCGTTGTCTAGAAAAAGATCTTCGTCTGGAGGGGGATCTCGATTGTCTAGCTTGGATGGTTGCTATGGTTGATTGCAGAGACGCTAGTTGGCTCGTTAAATGCGTTAACTGCTTTTGAAAGGAGACTAAACAGCTAATATCTAGTGGTCCAGGTGGTTGAAATGAGTTCACACCGTGACTATCATGGTAGACTTCCATCATTTTGTCCGCCATGTCGGCTAAGTCATCAAGTGCGACGGATTTCCCTGAAACACTAAGAATTTGTCTAACGCTGTGTGGTAATCTTTGGAACCACATTTGCTTTAGGAGGGCTTCGTCTAGCTTGTATGGACCGGCGAGTTGTTTCATGTGACGGAGAAGTTGAGAGGGTCTTTTATCTCCCAAGTCACAAGATGTTAACAATTGTTGCAGCCTTTTCTCATCTGAGACCGTGGTGCGTTGAATAACTGCTGCTTTTATCTTATCGTATGGTTCAGATTCTGGCACGTGATCGATTAAATCTCCAACTTCAGCCGCAATCTCAACAGGAAGTGCACCGACTACGTAAGCATACTTTGATGCCTGAGATTTTATGCCTCTAGCCATGAATAAAGCTTCAATCTGAGCAAACCAGATTCTTGGATTATTAATACAATACGTTGGTAATCTTAACTCTGAGATAGCGTTGATCGAGTTTAAAGCATTATCCTCTGGTTGAGGAGCGTTTAGAAAGTTGGTCGGTGAACTTTCAATATCAATCAGTTTACTCGGAGAGTTCATAATAACAAAAACAAAAAAAATGGGGTCGTGCCAGGTAATAATAATAAAAAAATATGCAGATATATAAGATTAATGTCTATATAAAAAAAAAACGAGGCTCACCAAATAATTGTGGTGGACCAAAAAGTATAATAACCAAAAATCAGTGATAAAGTTATTACGTCCAAAAATTAATGTAACAATAATAATTTATAAATTAACAACACAAATTAAAAGTTCAGGGACGTTACTTAAATCGGCTAGTGGTTGCGTATTCTGTTGAGTTTTGGTCCCATAAATCCACAATTATAAATGTGTAATAATTCCACAGAGATAAATATGACGCCAATAAGTTTCTTTGACGTAGGATATGATGGAAATGACACAGCAGTCTAAAATAAGGATAATATCCAGTTTAGAACACAATTGACGCGGTAACGAGCGAGAATAGAACGATGCGTATGTGCGTAGTAGTGTATCTGCGAACCACCGAAAGTATATCACGCTATGTCCGAATTACAACGGAAAAGGTCTTCAAGGTCATTTTCTTAAACAACAGGTACAATCATTTAATGATAAATGTACATTCAGTGAGAAATTGACAAATACAAATATTAAAAACTATTTACAAGATAAGCTTGTCAGACCTATCTCCACAACGGTTTACTAAACCCGCATGTTTCACCCAGTCATCATCACCTGCTTTTGTCATCTTGAGACATTGATAACGAATATGAAACAAGGATGACTGTTCAGCAAAGATTTGCGACAAAATTTCAATCGTTGCATCAAAAGAAAAATCTCTTGGATTCTTTGGAAGGATAAAGTTACTGTAACGTTCATGTTCAACAGTTCCAAGTTTTCGCAAGAGTATTCTGACCTTAGCGGCGTCATCAAGTTTTTTGAGGTCGACCTTGAACAAATCTTTATATTTCTTGAACCAAGTTTCAAAAGTAATGCCAGCTGAAACATCAAAATTAAATTCATGGATAGAATTAACAATCTGGTCAACATGAGATTTGAAGGGATCATCTGTAATTTCTTTTTGATCCAGGTTCATTTTCTGAGTTAGCATCTCTATTATGCGCGTCTGGAACTGTTCAAAACGTTTTTCTTGGCGCTCCAATAAGGCTTCAAATTGTTCAAAGGTAAATGACATATTGGTACAATAACCCGTCGCCAGATGTTATAACTTGAAAAAGCTGATTTTTCTTGATACTACCGCGTATAACTGAGCACTAGAACACCAAACCCTTCCAAGTCGCAAATAAGAAGACAGAAGACTAACGAAAGGAATATTATTCCAAACAGTGTCAAACATAGTACAAAATTGTCAGGTATCTATAGTTTTTAGTGAGAACGAAATCATCATTACAGTCTTCCAATCCGCGTACAAGGGGTTATTAGCATTATCCAATGGGGAACCTACACGTTGGAATTCTAGAACATTCTTCCGAAAGGTGATTGGATGGAACGTCTTCGGCTCCTTATGAGCCTCTTACAGCTTCCTCGAGTTCACCGGTGGTCCGTCGTCACACTTATTATTCAAATCTTTCTGGTCAGCTATTTTTTGAAACCTTAATTTGTCATTTAAGATTGTACTCATTTTTTCAATATGATCACTTTTATTAAGAAGAACGGCACCTGAACCTTTGTCAGGTTTTGTAATCAGTAACGTCTCATCCTTAAGAAGTAGTATTGATAGCTTCCCTGAGCTTCTTCGTAAGAATGCTTTTGTAACTAAACTTATTGTTCTTATATTGGTAATATCAGTCTACAAGTGTTGATTTAAAATATTTTAATTGCTAATCAGAATTCACAACTAAATCACCTGCCTGACTATAAAGATTCTCGAACTGTATATCTGTATCGATGTGGTTACAGTTATTACGAGTAACACAAAATTTTAGACCTAGGGACAATAACTCTAGTTTTTCTTTATCTAGTTCGACACTTGAGAAATTATGTACATACTTTTTAGAGTCAGTTGTATATCATAGTCATTAATTATTTAACCAGATAAACGAATGTATTATCCATTGTCTTCTGTAATTCTCTTGAAATGTTACTCAGAATTGTTGGTTAATCAAAATATTTCCAGAAAGTTTTTTGTAATTTTCAAAGAGTTTTATCGATTTTTTTATGGTTGATTATTCGTTGCAGTTACATTCTTCATTAAAACCTTACAAAATGTTACAAACCTTTATGTGAAATCTCGATATCTCAACAACACCATTCGTTATATACCATATTATGATTGAATCAGATGGATGTCTGTGACGATGGACCACGGGTGAACTCAAGGAAGCTGTAGGAGGCTCAGAAGGAGTCGAAGATATTCCATCCAATCACCTTTTGGGAGAATATTCTAGAATTCCTACATGTAGTTTCCCACTTGGACAATGCTAATGACCTCCTGTATGTGGTTTGGTGGACTGTAATGATAATTTCGTTCTTAATAAACACTATAAATACCTGACAATTTTGTACTATAATTGGCACTGTCTGGGAATAATATTCTTTTCATTAGTCTTCTGTCTTGTCATTGTGACTTGGAAGGGTTCTGGCGTTCTATTGCTCACGTTATACGCGGTACATCAAGAACAACCTTCAAGATATAACAATGTCAATGGTTCTTTTTAAAGTAATGTCATTCAATATACAATGTGTATAGTGTAATGATCTAGTTCCACTGTGAATGTTCACGTTCTTTATGATGAATCATTATTCATGTACTTGACTTCAATGAATGTTTATTAAAAGTGATCAACATTGTATTGAACTACCTAAAAATAATCTTCTATTTGTTTAAGGAGAGAAAAACAAAATTGAAAATCTTCCTAAAATATCTGTTTATCTATTTATTAAAGTTTCTTTATTACAGTCGTATTAGATGGTGTGTTGACCAATTAAATGGATTATGATTTTATTTTTGTTTAAATATTTCATCTTGATGAAAGTGCGGTGAATTCCGTCTGAAATCAAGGTCATCAATGTCAAGGTCACTCTTAATAATGATGGAAATAATAATAATACTTGAGTACTTGAATTTAATATACATTTCTACAGTAAATAAAAGAAAAATTAGTGTGTGGATAAAATAGTACTGAAATATCAATTAAGTAGTTAAAGTATCACTCAGAAATTGTTTGGTTTGGTGAGGTTATATGTGGTATCATTCACTTGCTACATATTGATACTGATTCTGATGGATGTATTATATAGAATTTTCATCTTATTGTTTGTTAATTGATTAAATCATTTCCATGAATTAACCTATATATACATGCTTGAGAACGATTTTTAGCCTGGTTCAACAAAGATGTAGGTAAGACAACAAAATGACCGTAGTTGTTACTTTGATGTCGTGGTTGGGTTTACCTGTCGTGATGAATCAAGCATGATATATTGACGGGAAAGCGTGTTCCTTTAAATTTGACTGTGCCAGGCAGATTGATTGAAGAACAGTGAAAATAAAAGCAGCCACAAAAAGCCTGAGGGCGAAGTCTTGCCACTGATGATATGAGGCTGTGACAACAGTGAGGTAATCGTAGATCACCAAGGTAGATGATCTACGTTGAACGATTGGAGGCTTACTACAGTTAGACGGGAATGGTGTGATGAATCAGCTAACGTTGAAGCCACGTGTCGCATTTAGCACCTTACGTAGATTGCCCCATCGACGTATCAAGGTACTGTAGATGCTTTGAAGACTGTACAACACAAAGGACGTTGTTACAGAAATCCGAATCTACTACATATCGCTTCAAAGGGCAACTAGTGTTATATTCATTAACTCGGTTCAAAAAGATACTAACGTACTCACTGGTTTTAAAATTATATATATATTATTGTTTTTTAATCCTATGAACTGAGAATGGTTTGTCTCTTTTGGTGAAGTTTCATCCTCTGAGCTGAATGGTTCACTTGGGAAGCATCAATCGTTTTTCTGAATAAATTCATTAGGACAAACTTCCAGTAGAGATTGTATATTCGAATTTCTCCACATATGACTGAATGCTTGTTCTGTCGACCTTGATCTTCATTAGTTAGTGCTAATCTTTAACTTGTCAATGTTTACATATTTGTATCAGACGGGGTTTTGTGGAGATTGTAGTAAATTCAACAGTTGAGATCACGAGTCGATTGAAGCTAGACCACCAGTGAAAACCTGGAAGCACTAGACAGCCTTTTCGTTCTATTGGATGCCGGCCCAGTGGTCTAGTTGGTTAAGCGCTTGGCGCGAGACTGATAGGTCCTGGGCTCGAGTCCCGCGGGACGGAGTCGTGGATGCGCACTGCTGAGGAGTCCCACAATAGAACGAAATGGTCGTCCAGTGCTTCCAGGTTTCCCATGGTGGTCCCAGAAGTTACCATTCATTATTTTCACCGGGATGTAACTGTTAGTTTATCGTTTGATTTGCATAAGTTTGGTCGAAGTAATTTCGCTGGTTTATGTGTTACACCTAATCTAAACGGCCTTTATAATCTTGGTGATGTTATTGAGAGGGAAAATGAAAGCTTCATGACTAAGACTTCCATTGCAGAGAAAAAATTCGAATCAAAATCATTCACTTGAGCTACGAATCTCTACCATCTCTGCATCAGCCTCTATTAGTTGATGTGCATCGTATTAGAATACAGGAAGTGGGTTTCTTCATATTGGAGAACCGTTAGCTGGACACAATTGTATCCTAATACCGATGGATACACTGAGAGACTAGTCAATTGCAGGCTTTAGCAACAACAACAACAGCAGGATACAATGTCTTGCAAACATTGTTTGATTCATTCACAACGAACCGAAGATTCGAATATGTCACATATTTGATACATTCATTATCCTCAAGTGAGATGAACACAGAAATACTTATTATTTAAACAATAAAATCTCTGACAACATCAAATATATGAGAGAAGAAGGCTTCCTTCATTGGGGAAATTGAAAATTCAGTTACACAGAAAAGTTGATCACGCTGACCAAATATCAAGTAACAACAGCAGTAAATCAAATGGTTCATAAGATGAGGTAGGTGAAAGATGCGTTACACGTAAACCTAAACTCATTGCACCATTCTCAATACACAAAAGGTTGAAGTAACTCATCTCATCCGTCCTGTGTAAGAATGTCTACTAGCACATATTCATCGAAAAGTATTTAGCGAGTGAACGAACTGTCATAAAATCAACAGGTTGAAACCAGATCTTTCTTCATCATATCATCGTCACAGGCAACAAAATATTCATACGTCGTAGGTGCTTTGACTAACAAAATTACCGCAGAAGTTGGCGATTTAATCGATTTATATGATACACTGAAGGCAACAGTCATAAAACGCATAACAGCGTCCAACAAAATAGATCACAGCAGCTACTAACAGCGTGTGATCTGGAGGATAAGAAATCTTCACAACTCTCAACACATATGAAGCAATTTGCAGGTCCATATCATACCTATAACTGTTTTTTCCTAACGTCTGTCACCAGTGCAAGAAGCTATAGAGCCTTTGGTCGCGAATTACTAGCGATTTATTTGACAGTAAACTATTTCACTTTCTTATTACAGAGACGTGAATTTGCGATAACGACCGACCATAAACCCTTGTGCAATTCGTTTAACACGTCTTACAAACAGTATTCTCTACGTGAAGCAAGACAATCAAATTACATCTCACAATGTACAACTGACATCCAGTTCATCAATGGACGCTCCAATGTCATATATAATAATAATAAAGAATAGTTTTCTACGTAGTTTAGATATGGGCTATTGGGGAAATGACTGTTCTAGATTTCATTATAAATATAAATGTACATTATTACCCGAACAAATATTACCACCCAGTTATGTAACCAGTAATCGTTCAATCAGTAGTTAAATTTAAATTACAACATGAGTCAGTTAAATGTGAATTATGTGGAAAGTTCACAATGTGAGAATAAATTATTTGTCTGTGTATGTATGTGTACGATTGAGTTATTAGTAGTTGATATCAGGTGTTAAATTTATCTTTATATGAAGGAAAAATGAAAGTGCCATGCCCAATCCTCCTCCTTTATCCCAGCTTCGGACCGGCATTAGAAAGAAATACGAAAAGTCATAGTTTATAAATCGGTACACGGAAGTAATCGCGAATTCAGTGATAAATGTATTTATCTAACCTACACTTTGGGAAGTTTATTCACTGAAAAAAAAACAATCTGCGACTTGATTAATTATGTTGATAGAAGGCAAGTCAGTTTATATCTTTTCTACTACAACCCGCAAAATAAAAGTTCACCAGTCATATCCAACTGTTTCCAACCATTTGACATTGTGAACATATTGCAGTGTCTAGTCGTGTATCAAACCCATACGGGTTCTTCTAGCTTCCGGACAGACAGATTTATTCTTTTCATGTCACATTTTGATCTCGTCAATTATTTGCTTATTAACTGTGTTAAATGCTTACTCTATTCATCACATGTCACCAAATTATTTTTATGGTCAGTCCAGATGCATGTAAATTAGTTGATAAACAGCTTATGTTGGCACAAAATGCCTTAAGAGTAACAGTCACCACTCTTAAAAAGAACGGAAAGTTATCTTTATTTGCTGGGATCTAGAATCCTAGTCCATTTTAGCTAATCATACCACTTGATGAAGCAATATTATCATCAGCCTCAAGGACTCCATTGTGATCTACCACTCTTGGGTATCTTCGATTGCAGTAATTTGGTCCGCGTTTTCTGGACTGTCATGTACAATGATAATTCTCCCGAGAAAAATCACCTCGTGAGATTCGTTCGAAATCCATAAACACCCTAAATTTTCATCAAGTGGCTGGCCGGTAGAACACTATTCACGTCGAAAGTGCTAGAAAACGTTAAGCGAGAGAGTTTCGAACGATCTGAGTGTTTGTTGTTCTTCATTGAGATAAGTCGTGTGACCGATAGCGAGACGTTTGAGCTTCCTTTTTAAATTTTCCAATAGCATTCTATCGATCTAGTCCTGTAAACTGAGAGGAAGGTCAAAGCGGTCTTTAAGGATCATGACAATTACTAAATCATCACGAACCTTGACCATTTTAAGCACGTTGACTTTCGGGTCCTCATTGTTCGTAATTCATAAATAATCATATCTAATATGAACAGGGATCCTACTCACTACCATCTCGTGGCATTACTGTTGTTTACAAAATTAAGAGAATGAAAAACTAATAGTGCATGCGGGCTTCAGGGTCCTTAGAAAACAAATGGCATATGAATCAACTATTGGTCACCGGCTACCAACGGACTGCATCTTCTGATGTTGCTTCACTGCCTTGTGGATCAGATTATTAGATTGAAGGTTCCGGGTGTGTGTGTGCCATCCCATAAGTAAACCACCTGTTTCCGCTTTGGGTACCCGGATAATATTACAGCCCAAACACAAATTAAAGGACAAAAACAAGTTTAATTGTATATAGGTGTGTTTATAATAGATGTAAATGAATTATTAAATACATATACCAAAATACTATGCAATACTATACATTATTTATATGAAACAAACTATCAATGTAAATACTTTAAATAATGCGGTAATTTTAATCCAATACGTTTTAAATTACCTCGAAAGTGATTCGGTAATGGAGCAGTGAATTTAAAAGGATTTTTTATGAATTTATTATTAGTAATATTATTGTTACTATGTGAATTATCAAATGATCGAACAAAATCAAAAAATCCTTCATTACTGGAAGAAGAAGATGGTGATGATGATGATGATGGTGGTACATGAAGATGTAAACTTAAAGCATGTAAATGTAAACTAATATATCGAACTTTCGATTGTCTAATATTTAATACTTCTAATAAAGATTTTGGTAAACGTTGAGGTGCTAAATATTCAGCATGTGAATATTTATGATCACCAAGTATAGGAGTTTGTAAACCAAATGCTAAATGAGCTCGAATTTGATGTTTTATACCTAGAAAACATATGAAAAGATTACGAGACAATGTATAAAAAGCAACATTTCATAGTCATATAATATACCCTTGTGGGTCAGGGTACCTTTACATTGGTTTTCAGGAGATCCAGACTTTCATCACATGACAACCAAAACAGTACACCTCAATTCTGTTAAACAAAAGAACCAAACACTGCCCAGGCTTAAATTTTATAACCCGACCAATACAGCTCAATCCCGCTTCACAGGAGGACCAGACACCATATAAGCTTTAACGCTACAATCTGAATAGTACAGATCAATCCTGTGGCGCAACCACACAGGTACCAAGCAACCTGGTGGACCATTCGCATCATTCATATATACATTCACGTCACATGTATAGTTATTCCGATCAATGATCATGTGAATCAATTATACACAGCATGAACAGGCCAAAGTTGACCTATTTCGCGTACACGACAGTCAAACTCATTAATGTTAGCAATGGTGACATGCCTTACAATGTCCCAATGACAATGGCCCTTGAGAACACTGAAAATCAACCACCAGTATGAATGAAATCGGTTAACCAACAGACCAATTTCATGCATAAACAGTCAGTAAAACTTGCCAAAGTAATCCTGAACCATCCACAATGCCATTGGCGAACCTCCAGTCTCATATGAGACTTTCAGCTCTAGATAGCCATATAGATTATACTGCATATAACACATGTAGAGTAGTAAACGAAATAGCCCAACCTGAAGCGTTAGGGTTTTAACAACATTTAAAACCCATTGTCTGGTGTCAGAATACTATTACTAGACCACCAAGATCATTTTTATCGCATTTACGAAGTTTCCATTTTTCCGACTTTTCAGACCCTGAGTTAGAGATAGTATCCTTAAAATTGTAGAAAGAAACTATCCTAATGTAGCAGTAAGATTTAAGATGGAGATTGTTAGATTGATGTAATTACTTCTATGAATTCGGTGTTCATCTAATGAGTAAGGTGTGGCAATTTGGACCGACGCATATATGTGTCTAGTCCTACGACGTTGTAGCTGACTGACTGTTAGATTGTTGCATGAAATTCAAAACCTAATGACTAACACCTTGTAACTTATTACTATGTAAGAACTGAATAAAACAATACTGGGATCTAGGCGGCGTGGGGGGAGGGAAGAAATCAAGTGAACCGTAAAATGAGGGTATGTAAAAAGATCAAATTATTCACGAAAACAACTGAAATCCAGAAATGGGTAGTATAACTAGATAACTTAAAAGTGTTTGAGATTCCAATTTAAATATTTGCAATTATTCATTATTATAATCACAAACAGAATGCTTCCCATATCCTGACTATAAACACTTTACCATTTACTGAAATAAATCATTCAGCATGTTGGGATTTACTCATCATATTGAAACTGTTTATTCATTGTGATTTTATCACTGCTCTATCAACTAAATGCTGTTTTCTAACCAGTTGTCAAGTCATTCAACGTTAATGGTACAATTTGCTGATCCATTTGATAATATAACTTAGTCAATTGATATTTAAAATTCAGAGATCCAATGAGTGGAAGGTCATGATGATTGTATAGATCAATGGTTGATCCGAAATCCACTCTCAACTAAGTGATCTCACTATCACTTCAAATATATGTTTCAATACTATATCACTGATAATTAACATATAGGGACCATTTAAATAAAACAAACAGACAGAATAGTATATATTTATTCATACTGTTAGTTGTTAAGATCAAACTTAAAGTAATGATAATGTTATCATGTCAAATGAATGAAGTTATGAAGATTAGTTCATAGACAACTGGTGAGCAATTGGAAATTGAACATTATTGAACAGGTTCGTTTGATCTAGGCCAGGAATCACCAGAACACTAACATGCACTGAAAAATTGTCCTGTCTCGAAATGATAGCCATTACTTTTAACTGATCAAGTCGAAGTATAATAGTTCAACAATTTTACTATCAAGTCAATATATACAACATAATTTAACAGTTGAATTCATGAGCTAGACTACCTATGGAAAACCTGGAAGCACTGGAAGGCTGTATGGGACTTCTCAACAGTGCGCATCCATGATCCCGCTCGCAGGATTCGAACCCACGATAAGATATTGGTCCAAACATATCATATAGATGAATCAATATCATGAAGACGAGATAAAAACATATAACACAATACGTTATAGAATTAAGCAAATTAACAACATGATAAACAATAAAAATCAAAACAAACCAGTCAATGTAGAACAAAGCATTAATGCAGCATCATTTCGTCTATCCATTAAATGATACCAAGTAGTTGGTTGATTATGATTTGTTTGCATTTTATCATATAGTACAGAGAAAGCATCTGTTACATCATATTCATTCGCTTCATTATTTATATCTAATTGTGTTTGTTTACAAGTTAATTCTTGTAGATGACGATTTAATTGAGGAGCACACATCTAAAAAATAAAAGAGGCGATGAAAAGAAAAAAATATAACTAATATATACATAACCATCAAGAGATTTTGTGGAGGTTTTAGTAGTTTAATAGCTGAATTCATGAGTCAATTAAAGCTAGACCAACATAGAAGCAATGGACAACTGTTTCGCCCTAGTATGGGATTCTTCATGAATTCAACGATTAAATTACTAAAATCTCCGCGAAACCCCCCTTCTGATAATAATGTGCTCACTAGTGACTGACTTCAAGAGGTATTTCCTGGAGTTCTAGTGAGAAGCCATGGCCAAGAGTTCAATCAGGTCTGTTGTGAGATAGTAACTCACTGATGACAATGATGGACGGTGCCGTTGGATGTCGGCCAGCTCAGTGGTCTAGAGGTTACGCGTTCGCGTGCGAGACCGAAAAGTCCTGTGTTCGAATCCCGCGGGCAGGATCGTAAATGCTCACTGCTGAGGAGTTCTGTATTAGGACGAAGCGGTCATCCAGTGCTTCCACGTTTCCCATGGTGGTCTAGTTTTAATTGACTCATGAATTCAACATACATAATTAAAAATAAGAAATTCAACTGTACGCTCATATGTATGTGATAAATATTTGTAAATATTTTGAGGAGTTAGACTTTCCAATGCATATTGTTAATAAAAATTGTGTAAAACTAAGTTGAAAATTGAATGATCTTCACAAACCTCTCCACGCTAATTTTATGTTTGAGATTCTGATTTATTCAAGCATTTTACAACGCTTTCACAATCAGCTACGCCCAGTAAAAAGACTAAGGGTGCGGAGGAATCAAAACTAGGATCATAATGAATACAATTTATGAATAGATATAAGAAACAAGATTACTGTAGATAGGGACATGTGAGCGGTGATTTCGAATGGGTGGATAATTTGTTTACTCATAATAACTCACCAATGAGTGGATTTCTAACCAAAATTGTGGCCTTATGACAGTATATGATCTCTTGGAGTGACATGTGATCCATTTAGGCTTTTCCGGTGTATATATATAACCCAATAAATGACTAAGAGATGAGTTCTCGAATGCCCAGAAAGAATCTATAGCTAGTAGAGCTCAATCATGTCAAGATTGAGGCATCTTCGTCTGGTCTTGCTGGCGTTGGTGTCGCACTAAGCGCTAGAGCTGAGGCAGCACTAGTCGATTGGATCCCCATTAACAGTCGGTTATGTGCTGTTAGATTAGAAAGTTCCATCAAAGTGAGAAGAAATCGGCCTGAGAAACGATGTCTTTTCGTCATCTCCGCCTATGCCCCGACAGATTGCAGCCCGGATGCAATCAAGGATGAGTTTTACCACCAGTTATCAGTTCTTCTCCAGAAAGTGCGTTCGACAGATATTGTAGTACTAGCCGGAGACTTGAATGCTCAGCTCGGGCGTCTAGGCACAGAAGAGAGTCGTTTAGGTGGCCGATGGGGACTCGTTGGTCGCAGGTCAGATAACGGGGACCATCTACTGCAACTTTGCACAGACCACAACCTGTTTCTGGCTAGCACTAACTTTCGGCACAGTCATCGCCGATGTGCCACCTGGCGTCCTCCCTCTGCATCTCAAGCCAGGACTCAGATTGATCACATCGCGATCAGCTACCGCTGGCGTGGTTGTGTACAAGACTGCCGCTCCTTTTGGAGTACCTATCTGGACTCTGACCATGCCTTGGTCTGCGCCAATCTTGCCTTACTTTTCAGTGGACAACGAAGTGAACGCCTTCAACGGATTGATGTTAGCAAGCTGGTTGCAACTTCTGTTGCAAGTAAGTATCGAACCGAGCTAGCCTCTAGGCTAGCTACCACTCCACCGAAAAGTATAGATGAGCATTGGTTGCAATTGCATGACGCCATGAAAATGGCGGGAACAGTCAGTTGTGGGTTTGCGAAACGTCCCGCTTTTAAGCACTGGGTTTCTTCTGGTTCCTTACAACTCATTGAAGCCCGTCGGTCTACTCCGGGTGACCGTGAGTTTGACCATAAACGAAGGATGTTACGTAAGGAAATTGGGCAAAGCTTGCGTGTAAGGACCGAGAAGCCTGGTGGTCGATGCGTGCTAATGAGCTGGAAGCAGCAGCTGCATCTGGCAACTGCCGGAAGCTGTTCCAACTCATCCGAGCCACTGGCAGCAAGAAGTCTGGTGTGAGTGAAACAATCTGCGAGGATGATGGGATGCCAATCACTAACATCCATCGACGTCTTGGACGATGGGCAGAATTTTTCGAAGGGCAGTTCAACTGGCCTTCTGCTCCGGCAACATCGGTCAGACTGTCCTGCCCTACATGGCCGGCGACGACTGATCCACCAAATGAGGAGGAAGTCCGCAAGGAACTCCAACTCTTGAAGCGTTACAAATCACCTGGCCCAGATGACTTACCTCCGGCTCTTTTTAAAGATGGTGGTGACTTTTTGACTAAGGAGTTGACGACGTTGTTTGCAAAGGTTTGGGAGCTAGAGAGTGTACCAACGTCATGGAATGAGTCGATAGTTGTCCCTATCATTAAAAAGGGTTCACGTCGTTCTTGTAACAACTATCGGGGGATAAGTTTACTTCCGATTGCGTCCAAGCTATTGGCTTTCATCATACTTCGTAGGTTGTTCAAAACCCGAGAAAGATTGACTCGCGAGGAGCAGGCTGGGTTTCGTTCTGGTCGAGGATGTATTGATCATATCTTCACCCTCCGCCAAATGTTAGAACACCGCCATACTTATCAAAGGCCAACAATCGTAGTGTTTCTTGACATCAGGGCTGCCTTCGATTCGTTGGATAGGACTGTTCTCTGGGATTGTCTGTTGCAGAAGGGTGTGCCTGAGAAGTTTATTAACATCCTGAAAGCCCTATATAAAAACACCTCAGGCAGAGTGAGGGCATACAACCACCTCTCTCCATTGTTCCATTCGAGCAGTGGGGTTAGGCAGGGTTGCTCAATCTCACCATTCTTCTCCTCAACTTTGCCATCGATGACATTCTGGAAACAGCTCTGATGAATGTAAGTAATGGTGGTGTGGATCTGTTGCCTGGAGAAAGACTTCTCGACCTTGAGTATGCGGACGATATTGTCTTACTGTGCGATAATGCCCAAGGCATGCAATCCGCACTTAATCAGTTGGCAATCAGTGTCCGTAGGTATGGTATGTGCTTTGCACCTTCGAAGTGCAAAGTACTTCTACAAGACTGGCAGGATTCTAATCCTGTACTCACCCTGGACGGTGAGCAGATAGACGTAGTTGAGAAGTTCGTGTATCTGGGTAGCTGCATAAGTGCTGGTGGGGGTGTGAGTGATGAGATAAATTCATATATAGTGAAAGCCAGAGCGGCTTATGCCAATCTGGGCCACCTTTGGCGCCTTCGTGATGTTAGTCTGGCTGTAAAAGGTCGGATCTACAACGCGTCGGTGAGAGCAGTTTTGCTCTATGCTTGTGAAACCTGGCCTCTCCGAGTTGAGGACGTTAGACGACTCTCTGTGTTCGATCATCGCTGTCTCCGAAGGATTGCTGACATTCAGTGGCAACACCATGTCAGTAATGCAGAGGTTCGGCATCGTGTGTTCGGGCACAGAGATGATAACTCAATTGGTGTCACCATCTTGAAACACCGACTTCGGTGGCTTGGACATGTTCTACGAATGTCGTCCCAGAGAATTCCACGTCGTGCATTATTTGCCGACTCTGGGACTGGTTGGAAGAAGCGGAGAGGTGGTCAGTGCATGACATGGTGTCGTGGCATGAAAGAAAGCTGCAAAGGACTGGCTTGTGTTGGTCCTTCACGACTCCCTGGCTGGGGTCCGAGAGATGGTGCTACACAGTGGCTAGAGACGTTATCAGATATGGCTCAGAATAGAAGCCAGTGGCGATCCTGCTGTAACCTTCTTTTGCTTTCTTCATAAAAAGTGGTTGTGTCTCCTTTACCTGAAAGATTTCTTCTGATTGTACCTTTTCGTTCCGTCGTTACTACCACACTACCTTACTCCAATCTCTTCGTCATTGTTCTCTTTTTCTTTTGCGTTCCTTAGTTTTTTTTCTTTCTACTTCTCTTCGAATTCCCATTGTTTTGTGTGGCGCATATATATTGGCGCTCTCTTGTACCAATATTTATGTGTTCAAATAAATAAATAATAAATAAGATTGAGATAAATACTATCAGGGCTAATAAATGATTTTTTGGTTGTATCGAAAAGTTATTGGGTTTGAATGTATAAATTATTGGATTTCAGGTATAAAAAAATGTCCACTGACAACGTGAACTGTATGAGATATGAAAGAATCCTGTGTACGATAACTGAAGGAGTTGTAAAGACTCATTACTTATCAGTAATCCAATAATTGCCGATTTTTTGACAGCCTTAAATCTGATACGTTGTGAACGGGAACATGTATGGAGGGCAACCAGTTCTTTGGTCAAATGTGAAAACTATACATTCGATACTACGTTTGCGAATCCCCCATCGATAGTTTCAAACTTCAATGTTCCTTCATTACTGTAACAACTACTCTCTGTTCTTATTCTTTTCGATTTGATCTTTCCAACCAGTCATTTTATTTCTGATCGATGTTATATACTACTTATGTCGACATAAGTAACCAAGGGTGAACCCAAGAGTATCAGGTAATTCACACAGATAACTAATTCAAAATCAACAACTACGTACTGATAATTCTGTTCAATTTTCTAAACTAAATGTCCTGATTCCATTCATTAATAAATGTGAACTCATTAATAGACAACAGATCACACAAAAAATGAAGAAACGATCAATAATGTTATCCATTGAATTCACTTCATGTTATAACTTTGACAATAATTTATTGAAATTAATCTAACGAATTGTAGTTATGGTGAAAATAAATGGAATTTATTATATAACGAACAACTTCATAACCAAATAAACATGTTAGTTGCTTCTATTGAACAATATCTGTTGGTAAACATAACCGATGATCCATCTTCTAATGTTATCTTGATAAGAACACATGATAATCTTAACGGAAATGACATGGCTGTAAGTTATATTGCTATCTAGAGCTGAAAGTCTCATATGAGACTGGAGGTTCGCCAATGGCATTGTGGATGGTTCGGGGTTACTTTGGCAAGTTTTACTGACTGTTTATGCATGAAATTGGTCTGTTGGTTAACCGATTTCATTCATACTGGTGGTTGATTTTCAGTGTTCTCAAGGGCCATTGTCATTGGGACATTGTAAGGCATGTCACCATTGCTAACATTAATGAGTTTGACTGTCGTGTACGCGAAATAGGTCAACTTTGGCCTGTTCATGCTGTGTATAATTGATTCACATGATCATTGATCGGAATAACTATACATGTGACGTGAATGTATATATGAATGATGCGAATGATCCGCCAGGTTGCTTGGTACCTGTGTGGTTGCACCACAGGATTGATCTGTACTATTCAGATTGTAGCGTTAAAGCTTATATGGTGTCTGGTCCTCCTGTGAAGCGGGATTGAGCTGTATTGGTCGGGTTATAAAATTTAAGCCTGGGCAGTGTTTGGTTCTTCTGTTTAACAGGATTGAGGTGTACTGTTTGGGTTGTCACGCGAAAGTTTGGAAAGTGTCCAGTTCTCTTGAAAACCAATGTAAAATTACCCTAGCTCATAAGGGTTTATTATATAACTAATAATAATTATCATAACAGTGAAAGTGTTTATTTGGTTTCAATTGAACAATGCTTGTTAAAAATGACATCCATCTCAATATAAACCCGGTTAAAATTTACCAGTTACGAATTCATATCAGAAATTTTCGGAATATGTTAATTAGTTAGTCATAATTGGTGTAAAATGTGGCATATATCAGGATCAGTTCAAGTTGTCACATCGTATTAGTTGTACAATGAGATGAAATTATCAAGACAGTTATGCTAGAGTAGTAAGAATAATAACAGTATTCAAATGTGTGCTACTGATGTTGACAGATATAAGTAGTATGTACCATCAATTGAAAGTGAAATGCCTGGTGGCATTTAAGAAGATCAAAGAAAAGAGAACGAGAACAGAGGATAATTGGTGTGGAAACGAAAGAACAATGAAGTCTGAGACAATTAATTGACATTTTGCAAAGGAAGTATTTACTGTATGGATCTTAGATTGTACTAAGATGCTCTGTAATTTTGTGTTTAAATACATTCAATTGTCCCCGCTTGTATTCTCGTTCACTACAGTATTACTGATAGTAGAAAACACTAATTATATACAACATGATTAGAGGGAAAAAACAATCAAGTAGCATAATAAAAGGCATAAATGATAAGTCTTGTCGATTGAACGCTATATTCGTTTCCCTAAGCTATTCTGGTAACCCACAGGCTAGAACTACACAGCGACTTGAACACCAGAGAGAAGACGCAAGTATGAGAGAAAATACTTTACTCCAAGGTTCGTTTTTGTACATAAAATCATGGGTATTTATAGATATTAGCGTTTGTTAAATCAACATCATATTTTGGCCAATCCGTTAGCGACATATTATGCTACTGACCAATAGTAGCACGCCACTTTGGAATTCTCCATCGTGCTGTGATTGGCTAGGACTCTTCGGCTCCTTTTGGGCCTCTGAAGGCTCCGTTGAAGTTCTCCGAAAGCCGACTCAACAATAAACATTTTAAAACTCAAGATCTAAAGGAAGATAACAAGTGTATCTCTCTATAGCATTATGATTCATTCTGAGCTATATCAACTAATGTACTACAATTATCATTAGTTAAGAGAGTTTCATGTAATCCACTCAATCAAGTAGTAGTCTGTATTTCTCTACACGATTCAATCCAACAATCAGCAAATTCATGAAATAATGCTAATCTTGGTCTACTCTCTGGAATGTATCTTGATTACAGTCAACTAGATTTTAAATGAAGTGATTTTTTTAGTGTTTCACAGCTCATTTCATGGAGATACCTTCGTACTTGGTAGAAAGATACTTTATTAATGGAATAAATTGGATAGATTATTTTTATAGAAAAGAAAACACACAACAACAAAACAACAACGTTAATTTACTTTACGAATTCCATTGAAATTTCGTTCAACTAATGGCAATTGTATATAACCATAATCTGATCTTGGTATACCAACAGTAATACATAAATAATCTTTTTTAATCCAACGTCTTGCAAATGCCTCTTGAAGTTTTAATGCAGAATCCTTATTTCTTATCAAGAGAAATTGATAAAACGATTATATAATATAAATGATAAATAGCTATGAATATTAATGATGATAAATCAATATTGGTGAACATTAGAACGATTTCTGTTACACATAGAAGACACTTTAAAAACTGTTTCAATAGTTGAGATCGAAAGTCACTTGAAGATAGACAACCATGGAAAATCTGGAAGCACTAGACGGCTGTTTCAACCTTGCATAGAACTCCTCTACGGTGCGCATCCACGATTCCGCCTCCTGCGAGATTCGAACAAAGGATCTACCGGTCTCGCACGCGAGCGCATAACCAATAGACCACTGAGCCGTTATCCAACTGTGTTAATGTCTAAATTCAACCAATCCACGAAATTGCGCCACCGTACGCCATTGTCTTCAGTGAGCTGATATCTCACAACAGATCTGGGTGAACTTCACTGGTGATGGCTTCTCACTAGAACTCCGGGTCAGTTGTGAGATAGTAACTCACTGATGACAATGGCGGATGTGTCGCTTAATTTCGTGAATTAGTTGAAGGTAGATATTAACACTGTTGGATGTCGGTCAGCTCAGTGGTCTAGAGGTTACGCGTTCGCATGCGAGACCGAAAAGTTCTGGGTTTGAATTTCGCGAGGCGGGGTCATGGATGCGCACTGCTGAGGAGTACTATGCTAGGACGAAACGGCCATCTAGTGCTTCCAGGTGTTCCATCGTGGTCTAGCTTCAATTAACTCATGATCTCAACTATTGAAATTACTAAAGTCTCTACAAAACCCCTTCTGATACGTTTCAATGTTCATCAAATCATAAAACAGTCAGATGTACAACTGGACGATGTACTACGAAGTTCTGCACTAAATTTGTAAAACTTAGTCTTTTCAGGATAAAAAAGTTCGATAAGATATGCCTGCTTAATTATCACTACCTTTGAAGAATCACACTTATTCAAATGGTAACACTGTATAAAAAAAATTTATATATAAGCAAAGATGGATGGTGGCTGACAGCGGAATCCAGTTTGACGCGCGTTTTGTCCTAGTTGGAACTCGTCGGCTGGATGTACTTGCACATCAGAGTTGATTTTCACTCCGGGACCCGAATCCAGTACCGTTCGCTTTAAATACGTTCTCCACTTAGTTACTGAGTCCTCATAGCCCCTTGCTTGTGCAATAGGGTGAAGTTTTAATTCACTTGATATTGTCTGCTTGAATCTTCCCACTGATGTTTACGACTTATTTTATTTTAACACATAGATATTGGTACAAGAAGACATCAAATAAATATGCGCCACACATATCTCATTTGATGTGTGAGGGCTGTGATACTGCCTGAGTGCCCAAACTGAAACAGGTGGTTTTCTAAGGGGGCCACACACCGGAGCCTTCGACCTAAAGGTCTGATCCACAAGGCACTGAAGCATTGTGAGGTGATGCAGCCACATGATAGCCGGTGACCAACGATTGGTTCATACGCCATTTGTTCCTTCAGGATACTGGAGCTCGTGTGCACTATTGGTTTGGAATCAGGGTTTTCCAACTTCCCTAGGTGGACTCTCCATGTCCACCGACACAGTTAAAACGCCGGACATTCACTTTTCGTCCTCTCAATTTCGTAAACAACACCCCAGCCACTAGGAGGCAATAAGTAGGACTTCCCTGGCAGAGGCTAATATACGCGTGGCCATATGAGAGTGTTTCGAGAGGGAGAGCGGGCTCTCCCCACTCTCGACCGTACCAGGGCATTTGGGGGCTAACAAACATCAATTAACGGTCAAACGCCATGACATATCCTCGCTTATATCAATGCATGTGGACACATATTCGACTGGGGTCTCGTGCGCATTACAGAACAGCCAGCTGACGAGTCCCAAATAGGACGAAACGCACGTCAAACTGGATTCCACTACTAACCACCATTCATCCAACCTTATAATACTTATGACCTAAGGCAATATCGAGTCAATACGCACAGAATGCAAATATGCCAATAAGAGACTAATCAATTGCAATCCTAAACATCAATTAAAAGATTCAAGCAAACAATACCAAGTGAATTTAAATGTTATATATGTTTGTGTGTAGTTATGCTGGATGTTCAAAAAAGTCTTATTGCAGAGACTATCATGACAACCTGGTATGAGAAATTCGAATGAACAAAACAGTTTCTTTTCGAAGAAAAACACCACGTGGACCATATACATTTGATCACACAAAAACCACATGCTGTTTACAGTATAGACTGATTATGATTATAGCATTCATATGAAACAAACAATTCTAGTGTCAGTTGATCAGTTCACCAATCACTAACAATTCTTACCAGAGGTTCTTTGTATACTAAATCAATGATTCGAAATTATCAAGTCAAACCTTGGTAATGATACCTACAAGTTTACATGTGATTATAATCCTGCATTTTTGTATATTACAAGTCATTAGTCAAATATAAGTTTATCAATGTACTATTATTTTAAGCAGTGTGTAAAGGGGATTTGAAATAATCGCATGAATCAAATTACCTAAGTGGAAGGTGCTACAACTTAGTATGATTGAAAAGTGAATGCTTTAAACACTAAGTAAATAATTTATTTTTTTCATGAATCTTATGGCCAGTTAAAAAATGTGGTCTTATATATAAGATGATTTGAGTTAGTCCGTAAAATATGCGTGCTAGTTGGTACTTGTCAACAATATGTACCAACAATCTTGAGGAGACTAATGTTGTATATAGGATTCGAACCCGGTTCAACCAGTTTCATGAACCTGTCACTAATGACCAATTCTCAATGCTGTTGATCTCCTATAAAACTGAGATAGTTATATTAATTGACCACTGAGTGGTAGTGACAAACGTTATGCTTATCTAGTTTACTTATAATTTTAAATCCAAATGTTTGATACGAAATGGTTGTAGTTAACCGACAGGAAGCACTGAGCATAAATGTCAAGTTAACTGGCAGTTGTCAGTTAGCGAGATGCATTTACAATTATGAGAGTATTAACGATGTTCATGAAATTTGAACTCATGTTATAATCAAAGATGTTACCGTAGAGCTACCCTGTTCATAATTAATATCCTATAAAATTGTAATATCTATACTAATAATCAGTGTAATACGCATAAATGCAACTCCACTTGAAGCTGCTTTGCGGTTACGGTTTGTCCCAAGCCTACACAGATGAGGAAGGTTGGGCATAGGGTTAACAATCTCAGCCCAAACAAAAAAATCTAGCTAGAAAACTAGCTGGAAATAATCACTATAAACATTTAAAATTTCAATTGGGAAATGAAGAGTCTTCACTTAAAAGAGTTTTATGACACCTCATGGTGAAAGCTAAGAAGTCACGAGGCCGATGATGCCCCTTTCTGACAATCAGGGTAACAATTAATATAAGTTCATGGAATATCCGCACAATATGGGAGACCAGGAGAACCAATAGAGTAGCTGAGGAAATGAAGAGAGATAACTTGGCGGTTCTCGGAATAAGTGAAGCCCATTGGACACAAGATGGACAGAAAAGAATAGTTTCGAGAGATCCTACACTGATCATGAGGAAGAAAATTCTTCGCACACACAAGGAGTAGCAGTGATGCTGCTGTCAAAAGAAGCACTTAAAACACTTATAGCATTGGAATCTCATGGATCCAGAATCATCAAAGCATCCTTAGAAACAAAGAAAGAGATATTAATGAATTTTATCCAGTGATATGCGTCCACCAATGATAGCAGTGGAGACGATAAAGTCCAGTTTTAGGACGGGTTGCGGCCGAGGGTAAAGAAAAACTCAGGAAAGAACCTGACCATGCTGATGGGAAATTTAAATTTAAATGTCATCATAGATAACACCGAGTATGAAGACATCATAGGACGACATGGAATGGGACAAAGGAACGAGAGTGTTGAGAGACTGAGAAATCTAAACGCCTTCAACAATATGGTTAAAGGTGACATCGTTTTGACTCACAAACGCATACACAAAAGTACATGAATTTCACTGGAGTATATTACACAGAGCAAGATCAATCATACCTGCATCAATAAAAAAATACAGAAAGTTCATGGAAGATGAGCAAACAAAGACAAAAGTTGATATATCCTCATCATTACCCTAGGTGGAACTGACGCTAAAGAAGAACTGGAGCATTGGACAAGCAACACTACAAAGTCACAATTGATTGATCACTGGGTGGTGACCAATGTCATGTGTGTCAAGTCCTTATTATTAGTGCAGTTCGAATGCTATCGACCATGATGTAGTGTGGTCACCAGTCTACGTGACTCGACACTGCTGGCACTATTATGAGATTAAATGGTGATTGGAGGTAGCCGACAGGAAACCCTGGACCCGGGTTCCGTGCTACCTGGCACTCGTCAGCAGGGTGTACCTGTAATCTTGATGGAACTGGTGCTCCCTGACGGACTCGATCCCGTGTCACCCAGCTTCACAGCCAGAGACTTTACCACTGAGCTATCCGGGCCGCGTGTATCTGAAAACATCGTCAACATCATACGAAATTCATACGACGGAATACAGTGCATGGGGGACAGCTTACAAATGCATTCCAAGTGAAGACCGGTGTGTGACAAGACTGCCTAATCTTCCCTTTTCACTTTCTTCTGGTGGTCGACTAGATTATGAAGACCTTGACACCTAACGGAAAGCTTGGATGCAACTAGACGATTTGGACTAAAGTCTTTTATCCTATACACACCAACAAATGCAGGTAAGGAGAACCAGTATAACAGCAGCCTCTGTAGCAGTAGGCCTCAACATACACAAGGGAAAAAGCAAGATCATCAAATACAACATAGAGAACACAAACACAATCACACTTGATGGGGAAATTCTGAAATAGGTGGACACTTTCATGTACCTGGACAGTACTATCGATGAAGAAGGAGGATCTGATGCAAACGTAAAGAGGAGGGTTTCCAAAGCAAGGGCAACATTCCTACATCTGGAAAATATATGAGACTCAAAACTGTCTATATCAAAGCCAGAATCTTTAATACGAACGTCAAGATAGTTCTACTGTACGAAGATGAAACGTGGAGAATACTACGACCATCATCAAAAACGAACAAGTATTTATAAACAATTTTCTACTCAAAATACTTAATATTTGTTGGTCGGATACCATTAGCAACAACTCACTATGGCAAAGAATAAGCCAGCTCCCATCTGAAGAGAAAATTAGGAAAAGACGTTGGAAGTGGATAGGACACGCGTTGCGGAAATCATTAAGCTGCATCACGCGGCAAGTCCTAGCTTGGAATCCTGAACTGAAAAGGAAAAAAGGAAGAGCAAGGAACACATTGTGTCGGATATCGGTAGCAGGCATCAGAAGAATGAACAGCACTTGGGAACAACTCTAAAAGAAAGACCAGAACAGAGTCGGTTGGAGATATCTGATCGACAGGGCATGAACTACAAGGGGTAACGGGCATTATTAAGTAAGTAATACATAACCACTAAGTATATAAACCTATTTCATACACAATAATATTAATTACTTATCGGAACGAAATGAAATAAAACAGGAATAATTAAATATGGCAAGTTTCAAGTTGCCGAATACAAAACTTTACTTTTCGTCGACTTGAAAATCGTATTTTCATGTACACACTTGCTTTTTACCCCATTTCGATAACTTAATTGTTTAGGAGGTTGTTTTGTTCTCTGTTGTTCAGTATCTACCATTATTTATACATTTTATCTTTTCTTAAGAATAGTCTTTCTGTTGCACACAGAAATTGTGTTGTTACTACAGGCCTCGTTACTTTCTCAATTATCATGATGGGCTCGAACCAACTGTATAGTCAATGACTACTCTATAACCCAATGAGTGCAGAATTCATCTTAATAACACATTAAACAAACACGCGCAAATCAGAGTGTGAAGTAACTTGTCTACCAAGTAAAGAAGTTACTTAGAGCCACAATGTATGAATGATGAGGTAGTGATACCACTACTAGTACTATTATTTATCCAGACCGATGTGTTTTAGTGGCGGTTCAACCCCGCTAACCATATGGTTAAAAGTTGAATGAGTGAACTTTACTAATCTACCATTTGAGAATATATATATATATATATACTTTCCTTACCTAGCTATTAATATAATTCCACTGGAATCTTTGTCTAATCGATGAACAGTTGACAGTTCACCAATGCATTTTTCTTCACCTTTCCCATGATTGCCATGATGACTTCGTTTTCTTATCATTGATTCAATACGCGGTAATAAATCAACAATATTATGTTTACAATCAGCTCCAGCTAAAAAATATACAAATAAGTAATGTTTTGAGATGGCATAATGGATATATATATATATATATATGCCTTTGACGCATTATTCATGTATTTTGGGACTACCAAGTAAATAATGCTGAAATCAGACGCAGAGAACTACGTAGAGATGGTTGATGAGGTTGCAAATGTTTATCCACTGAGGTAGTCAAGATATATGCTAGGTATATCGAATTACCATCTACCTTGCCTTAACATGTAATTCTCGCTTGCGAGGGAGTATGTTGAAAAAGAGTGTGTAAGCTGTGTGTAACTAGTTTTAGGTAGCTGTTTCTCGGATTCTGTAGTCAACCTTCCAGATCGCCAGGGCAACTACTGCCTTAAGAAGAATAATGGTGCAGGCAATTAGGAGAATGCTGGTGAGCGGCCTATGCTCCTTCACGAGGAGTAACAGGCGTAAGTAAGTAAGTAAGTAATTAGGAAGTGGCAGCCGCTTACACACTTCTATCAATACTCAAGAGTTACTGAGTTTAACAGTGGGAGAACTTCATCGCATAGTAAAATATATGTAAAATATGAGACAAATAATTAATATGTATCATCTGAGAAGAAACACCTATGATATTTGTATGAACAGAAAAATGGACTCACGTTGAGATGCTATTCCATATGGTTTATTCAAAGTGATCACATTTTCTATTTCCGATTTTATAGGAGATAAAAGAATAAAAAGTAATGTTTGAAATGGAAAATGATTATTTTTAAACTATAAAAAAAATTTGCATAGACAGATCACTTCATATCCGAATAGTTCGACGATAACATCTCAAATTGTAATGCTGAGTGACGTAGATTCCACTCCTATAGGAACATCAGTTCCCTAACGATTCTAGGTACACATTGCTAATGAGCGCTAACTGACACATAACCTAGGTCATGTAAGGTTTCTGACAGGCAACCGCCAACCATATGACGTAGACAATGTCATATGCTGACTTCGAGCTCCAGTGAAACAGCTGTATCTAGTCATAGTCAGTCAAGTAGGTAGTGAGATAGAGAGGCTAATTAATGACATTGGTTGAATATTATTATTAACATTATTATAATTATTGTTGGTACTATTATCATGACGCACTAGCTGACTAAGGTTTGAAAATCAGAATACACACACTGAATTATGGTAGTAATTTAAACGTTTCTGTTTTCAACGAGAGTTGAAGTACCTTAAGTTCCTACCTACTATACTGCACATTATTGGTAAGAAAAATACCTCTTTTTTAAAAAACAGAATTGGAATGTAATGGCCCATATTTAGAATTTCGGTCAATTGGTTATAAATAAACACACTGACCATCAAGGACAAGAATTGTTTCGGATTCGACCTTATGTTCTCCCTTGTATGTCATCCCACTGGGATTGAACCTTATTCGACTCGTCCCGAATCAGAAAAAAGACGGGACGGGAACAAGACATATCTCAAATAAGCGGAAAGCCTAAAGAAAACACAAGGGCTTTTATATAATCAACAGAAGTCTCTGATATATTATCGACCTATCCATTAGCGCTGATTAGCTGAGATACACCAATCAGGATATTTCGGTTTAAAGTTGCACTAAATATGCAACCAATGAAATTCTACCTTGTTAACAACCAACTTGACTGAACTTCATACCCAAATGCCCTGTTACGGCCGAGAGTGGGGAGAGCCCGCTCTCCCTCTCGAAACACTTTCATATGGCCACGCGTATATAGCCTCTGCCAGGGAAGTCCTACTTATTGCCTCCTAGTGGCTGGGGTGTTGTTTACGAAATTGAGAGGACGAAAAGTGAATGTCCGGCGTTTTAACTGGGTCGGTGGACATGGAGAGTCCACATAGGGAAGTTGGAAAACCCTGATTACAAACCAATAGTGCACATGAGCTCCAGTATCCTGAAGGAACAAATGGCGTATGAACCAATCGTTGGTCACCGGCTATCATGTGACTGCATCTCCTCACGATGCTCCAGTGCCTTGTGGATCAGACCTTTAGGTCGAAGGCTCCGGGGTGTGGCCCCCTAAGCGAACCACCTGCCTCGGTTTGGGCAACCGTGAAGTATCATAGCCCACATATAAGTAAAGTGACTTTTGTGACGCATTGGTATCCGGTGCCCCTTTGTACTAATATTTTTGTGTTCAAATAAATAAATAACGGCTTCCTATTATACTTTCTGTAATCCATCCTTGAAGTTGCTCAGTCCGTCATTACTCATAAATAACTTTATAAATAGAGAAAACAAACAGTGAAATTAGTTGTAAATTGAGATTTTTCGACAAACCTCTTATTTCTATAATTGATTTATACAATACCGTTGCAGCTTCTTCTTCAGTTAATAAATCAAATTTATATGGATCTTCATCCGGGACACGATATCCTTGACTATCCAATTTTTCTGGGACCGACGCTGTCGATTTATTTGATGGTATATCTAAGGCTAAAAAGTGACCCGAAAATTGAGTGTATTTATCTTTAAAACAGTATAATCATGGTTAATATACATATACATTTGAATTGTGATCTGAGTAGGATCTAGCACGCATGTCCCATCCTAAATAAGACTCATCAGATGATTATATGTACCACGTCTTAGTGTTGATGTTCACATTGACACTTGAACCCAGCACCTAACGCTCTAAATACTAATACCTTATAATAAAGACTGATTAGAATTCAACCGAAGATATTGACAGCGAAATGACTCAAGTCCTTACTAAAAAAGATACGTGTCATACCCGTTGAACAAATTAGCGGTTATTTGGACATTGAGTTCCAATATGGACATCAATACTGGGGTGGAGATAGATTCAGATGAAGAGTCCCAAGTAGGACGAGACGTGTATCCTAGATTCTACTGCTACTCACAACCCGTTTATCAAAATTACCTAGTTTTCCCCTATTACTAGTAAATTGTAGTACTGATGAATAAGGAGGTCCTTGGAAAAATCCTAACCTACATTACCACCCTGACCTCTGTTAAATTCTGATAGGATGTTCTCGCTTTTGGTCTTAGATTTTACGTCTCCAGGGTCATTGCTATCACTACATAAACAGGATTATCTGTTGGGAATATAAAAGTTTAGAAGAATCGAGAAAGAATGAATGCATTTGAGCACCTAGTGAAACCAATTTTGAGCTATTTAAATATAAAAGTATGCATCCATGTACGAGCAAAACTGTATCCATCATTACATAACACATGACAATAAACTCAATAAAAAACTTACTAGTACCAGTGTATAGATTTAACTTGGTTCTTTGTCGGATAATTCTAACTGCATCTGATCCATATTCAACATCATCATCGTAACGACTATCATTATCATTTTTGTTAAGTCTCAATGAATCATTATTATTTCGGCGTACATTATTATCAACCCGAACAGTCTTGGTCCCAGGGACCAATTTTTCCTGTTTTCTTAGATTTGCATAGCTTTTCAAAGTAATATCAGTATGTGTATTAGTATTAGTAATAGTAGTAGCAGGATGAGGAATATGCTTTTTACCAGTCCTAATTTTAGGCTGTGAAATTACCAATGGATTAGTAGTATTGTTAACTACTGAGCTGACATTTTCTATTGGATTTGTATTAGATCCTGTGGAGCCTATGTACATTAATAAGTGAAGAAAAAAAGGATTTAATTAAAAGACTAGCTAAATCCCTTCTGTCCTATGGATATATATATTAGTGCAAGAACATAAATACCCTGGAATGATTCACTCACCAAAAAAATAATGCCATACTCAAAACAATCTCCTTGATAAGCTTATCAGTCATTCATTCGATCACAACGTAAAACCTGGTATGTATGTACATGGGCTCAAGTTGCCATACCCCATTAGCACAGAAAGATGAAACTCTCAGGCTAAATCCCAGAATAATAGAGGTAGTAATAGCATCACCAATAAGTAATGAGATGATAAACTTATGTCATACAAGGGTAAGATGTTCATGATGTGTGACTTATTAGCGCAACACATTTATGATAATCTGACGACATATTTGCTTGTAAGAACATTTATATCTGAAAAATGAAAGGTCAAACTAGACACATCTGAAGAGCAAATAAAGATAATTAGTAGAAGGTGGACATTACTCTGGATAATAAATCAGCATTACCAGGGTAGTTTCTAAATGAGAACAAACTGTTTTTGACCACCTAAGACAAGTTTGATACTTTGTATGGTGAAGGCTTCAACACACCTTAAAAATCGCACATCTTAGTGGTTGAAACCGCTCTTCATAGCAAAGACAATTAATATGCAATGTGTTTGAAAACAGAAACCGGGAATAACTAGCCAGTTTGGGAATGAATACTTGTAGGAGTTCTAATCAAAACAGATAAGTTAGCATGACCCGTGTTAAAGTTTTGGAGATGTCAAGAGATATTGAGATTGCAGATTCTAGATTTATGTAGCTCCAAAATACTGTTTTCTCTAAACGCAGTTACAATTTTACACATATTGTTACAATATGCACTTGTATATGCTACCAGCACCTTTATGTTATATTTACTTTATTAAATGATTATTCCGTGTTAATTTGCTTGAGGTTTAGTTTTCATTTTATTATTTCATTCTATTTGTGTGTGGGCTGTGAAACTGCCTGAGTGCCCAAACGGAAACAGGTAGTTTTCTCAGTGGGCCATACCCGAAGCCTTCGACCTAGAGGTCTAATCCACAAGACAGTGGAGCAACGTTAGAAGATGCAGTCATATGGTATCCGGTGCCCAATAAAAGATCCATATACCATTTGTTCTCTCAAAATCCTGGGGCCCCATGTGCACCATTGGTTTGGAATCAGGGTCCTCCAATCCCCTAGATGGATCCTCCGTGTCCACCACCCCGGTTAAAACGCTAAACAGTCACTTCTCATCCTCTCAATTTCGTAAACGACAGTAATGCCGAGAGAAGGCAATGAGTGGAGCTTGTCTAACAGTGACTGCATATGCGTTGCCATATGCGAGCGTTTTCATAGGAAGATCTGACTCTTCCCACCCTCGACCATATTACGGCATTTGAGAGCTCCATTAGTAGGTAACATTCCCACACTTGATATGGTTGAACTCTACTGGTCACTGCTTGTGACAAGAACTTGGAGAATTATTTCTTGGAATCGGTAACTGCTGAGCGCATAATTATTAGACAATAACTGTGTAACTAAAATCAGTCCATAAACCCCTTTAGTAATAATAATAACGTTATAAAATCCAAACATATATCACTTTGAAAACATAATGATAATAATAATAAAAAGAAAGTTCATTACCAAAATATTGTGAGTCGATCTCACATAAATCATCTAAATGAGATGTCTTTGAATGAAGTACAGTTATTTCAGATGAATTCTTCTTAGATTTAACACTCTCTCTAGCATGTAACTTGACATCATCATCATGTACACCAAAATATTGTTCATCAATAATATCTTTAAAAAAATAATATGAAATAAGATATATGTACAAATACACATGCACACACTACTTTTTGATGTTGATAATGATGCTTTACGTTTATTTTCTTCACGTTTAATCACTTCGACTTTCTGATCATATTCAATACCGAAATAATCCTAGGAAGAATTAGAATTGTATTAGATAAATATCTACTTTAATGTAATAATAATAATTACTTATTTATTTAAGCACATAAACATTGGTACAAGGATGTACCAAACAGATATCCGCTACATAAATCACTCGACGTGTGAGGGCTAGAATACTAGCCGAGTGCCCAAACTGAAACAGGTGGTTTTCTAAGGGGGCCACACCCCGGAGCCTTCGACCTAAAGGTCTGTTCCACAAGGCAGTGGAGCATCGTGAGGAGATGCAGTCACATGATAGCCGGTGACCAACGATTGGTTCATACGCCATTTGTTCCTTCAGGATACTGGAGCTCATGTGCACTATTGGTTTGTAATCAGGGTTTTCCAACTTCCCTAGGTGGATCCTCAATATCTACCAACCCGGTTAAAGTGCCGGACATTCGCTTTTCGTCCTCTCAATTTCGTAAACAGCACCCCCACCACGAGAAGGCAGCAAGTAGGACTTCCCTGGTAGTGGTTGTATGAACGTGGCAACGTGAAAGTATTTCAAGAGGGAAAGCGGACTCTCCCACTCTCGGTTGTACTAGGGAATTCGGGGGTTATTAACAATAATATTATAATATCAATAATTACCAGTAAGAAGAAGAAGAAGCAACTAGTGAAACATTTACACATTTGAATTATTCAACACATCAGTAAATTTTCTTATAATGAATCGTTTAATGAAAATATATAAAACATACTTCAAGTTTTTATATAGATATATATTCTATAATGTCACAAAAGTAGAATTAAAGTACAATTGTTCTTAAAGATCAAAACAATTTAACAAGAAGAGTAATAGAGGTAAAAGAACTTTTTTGTAAAGATATTAGTTAAATATGCATTAGTACTGGATGATAGTCTGGTGCATCTGTGAATATTAATCCAACAAATACATGATTCTTCCACTTTGGATGACGTAATATTTTACAACAAACAGAACTGTCTAGATCAAATCCAAAATGTTTCATAGTTTCATCGGTTTCTGTGAGCATAGCTTCACCATGTGATCCAATATACTAAAATTATTATTAAAAAGTTTATTAGAATTTATTACGAAAAACAAACCGGTTTCCCAGTGAAGGGATCAATAAAATCTGCCCAATAGCCCAATTCTTTTAAAGACGAGCATATTTCTATTGCTGAAGTAATAAACTGAATATTATTTTATGATTTAAAAATATTTTCAAACACTTACAGATAGTGCTAACTGTTCACGTTCATCAGCAGCTTCTTCACTCCATGCATCTAACGATTCATTGGTGTGATGACTAAGAATTAGTGCTGTTAAAGGTTTTGATGAAAGTTTTCTCGATGGGAACACATTAGCTAAAGCTAAAATTTATATTTAAGTATAAGAGAGTTTATAGAAAACAAAGTAGATACAACTAACTTTGCTGAACTAGCACTGGACAAGTGTGTATGGTACATTCAAGTTGATCCGATACCGGTGGAATTATTGAGGGCTGAGATTCACTGAACTAGTTGGTAAAAAATAAGTAAATTTAGATAAGTTAACAAAAGAGTCTGACGAACTGTAATCTTCATTAAAACATGAAAGCAGCTATGCGACAAAACAGCTATTTCTAAAATAATGTGATTAAGCAGCTTTTTAGTTAAACAAAGAGGAACAGATAGAAGCATACGTGTATCCTTCTAGTTTTCTAATTTATAGAGAATATAATGGGATATCCAAAAAGTGGAAATAACAATAATAGCGGTAACAACAGTAACAAGAATGTTTTGAAAAAGACAAGTCAAAAGTGATTAGAGTAATAAACAAAGGATAACATCGTGACCACTACTTACAGTAAGTCAATGAATAGATATTAGTAATAACTAAAGTCTACAGCAGCATATGCCATCATTCATACTTGATGATGAGTCGTTAGAAGTTGTCGAAACTCTATGTACCTGAGTAGCTGTGTGTGACGGTATTGGTGTGTCCAATGAAACCAATCAACATATAATGAAACCTCAAGCGGATTTCACTAATCTTAGAAATCTTTGAAGCCATTGTGGTGTTAGTCTGGTTGTATAAGGTTGGGTCTACAACGCTTCGGTGACCAGTTCTCCTCTATGCTTGCGAAACCTGGTCTCTAATTTGAGGATGTTCGGTGACCGTGCTCGATCACCGTCGTCTCCGGAGGATTGCTGGTACCCGGTAACATCTAGTTTAGGCACAGTAAAGACAACTCACTTGGTATCGTCATCTTGAAATATCGGCTTCGGAGACTTAGAAATGTAGCACGAATATCATCCCATAGACTTCCACATTTTGTATATCGATATTTAGAAATCTGATGCTTTGCAGTAAAATCTTAAAAGGTAGATCTCGACATCGAACTAAATTTACTATCAAAAGAACCTGAGAGGCTTTGCTTACTCGTCGACATTAGACACACTATATCCCAAGGTTGTCACATTTCGGTGTCCAATAATATACTTTGAAGACATTTCGAAGGTTTTATAGCATTTGGATGACAGTTTACTTTGTTGGCTACTCGATCTTTTACTGACAATGAGTTAGTTGACCATGTTATTGATGTGACACCAATCAAATTGAAAGATGTAAATAGCCGACATGAACGATTCAAAAAGAAATACTAACTGAATTTTGTTTGCCGTTGACATAGAATAAGTTTCATAATCTGAAATTTTGCATGCGAAATACTCGCTTTTTGGTTCAGCCTACGCTTATGAACAAGCGGCGGTTTTGTGTATGAGCTTGAACCACAGACCTCATTTCAGATGCAAATCTCTAATTAGTATTACTCATCATAATAAGCAGAACGATTCCTCATTGTGACTCGCACTTGCACTCATCTCATCGATAAGCTGGTGCTACTAACATGCATCGTCGGATGATAGTTTCATTATTCAATGACGTCTGTCAGTATCTTGATTAGAAATATATTGGCATTTCATGTTGTGAAACCGGATATCCAGTGGTAACTAATAACAGATGGGGTACCGTATACAACTGCTATACTCGCTTTAGCCCCCCCCCAGCTACTTCAAAAGGCGGATCATGTTAAAATTTGCAAGACAAGACCAAAGAAGCTTGAGTGTACATTCAACCTACTCAGGTTACATATCAATTATGGTTATTAACTAGTTTTATGAACCAAGTAAGTCACTGAATACAAAATCAATATGAAGCAAACAATCATAGGAAAATGCATTTAGAATCAAATTACTAAATACACGTGACAAATGGTGAAAATTAATGAAGGGGAACCACGAAAGTGCTATGCCTAAAGTAAAATCACTTTAAATCGATATAATGAATATATTATTTTTATTTCTCGCATGTTCCATTTAGAGATACAGTATCTTCAAAAGTATCCAGCTTGCCCGACTTAGTATGTTTTTATGCGCCCCATTAATAAGTGTTTGGGCCCCCTAAGTGCAAACCGAAATTTATCAATCTTACAAACAGGGGTCATATCAAACTTGGGAAATCTTCTTGAAGGGTTAAGTCTAAATCAATTAAACTTCTCCCAAGCGGTACTTAGAAACAGAAGAACATGACAGACATGGAAATGTTAACGAAAGAAAGAGAAACAAGTTAAATTATACTTTTCCTAACTACTTATGGTCTGAAGCATTTATTTGATGCTCACAATTTTATGCTGACATTTTTCTATTCACGCAAGAAACAAATACACTAACTACTTTACAGTGGAATAATACATAGTAAGTTATATATGGCCGTACTGAAAACTCTTGTGGCTTTTACATAGAACAACGCAATAGTCAATCTAAGATAGCATTCCCTTTGGTATCATCCTGAACTGCGACAAGACTAGAATTGCACCTGGGTAGACTACACCATATGAACTAGCGTATTGTGTTACCTAACTTCTGATGTTATATTTCCTTTAGATATTTGTATAAGAACTTTGTTAATCCGGAAGTTTTCAAGTCGCCGGCTATTTTATTGATCAGTCAATCATAGATACCGTAAAGCCTAACACAAATGCGTATCGATCCAAGTTGCCACATTTTACACTAGAACTACGACATACAAACGATCTTAAACTTTGGTGAATCGAAGGAACAATAATACCAAAGATACCTAAAGAATTAAACAGACTCATGAGTCTGGAAAAAATGAATGTGCTGAGGAATAAAATACTTCGGATATTTGTCTTCAAGATAGGAAATAGACAAATGTTTACGAATATGTCTGATTCTAAACCATATAACTTAATTTTATATCTACCTAGTCTCTCTACTTTAGGGTTTATTATTATTATTATTATTATTATTATTATTAATGGCTTTATTCAATATTATATTTTGGTACAATATAGAATTCTCAGCACAGGGTATTTCAACAAGTTACTTACTGAACAACGAACAAAAAGGCAGTAGCGAATACATAAAGAAATATATAAAATAAAAATTTAAAAAAAAACCCAAAAGAAACTACAAACTTTTAAAATTAAAGACATGTTAAGAATGTAAGTTATTGACTAAGTTAATTCTAACAACCTGTTCGTCACAGAGTATATTTGCTAGGTAAGGTATTATAGAACTTTTATACTTTTCCTTGCGTGCAAGGATTTTAATGTAATTACGTCTCGTTCTACCAGAAGATATACAAGGAGAAAGATAAGAGTGAAGGGGATGGCTAGTATCTGATAAAATAACACCTGCCAGGAGTTTGCATGATTTTAAATGTCGTAACAGTCGTAAGAAATTTGGTAGTTTTGGAAAAAAACCGAAGTGTCATAGGATCCTATGGAAATATTGAAGAAAACCCAAAATCTCCCCGAATATTTTGGGTATTCCCCTGAAACTTTGGGGATTTTCCCCAGACCTGTGGAGATTTCGGGGTTTTTTGCCATTTTCGTAAAGTTCTTCATTGTGGCTTCCCAAAAATTTACCCTAAATGGACAAAATTTCCCCCAAAATAGGGAGATTAGGCATATGGTTTAACTCATCATAGCGTTCATCGCGTATACGCTTATGTCTGATACCCGTATATACAGGATCACTCAGTAATTCTTGATTATCTGTCCCGACATCTAAAAGGATTGGTAAACAATGCTTCGGATGAACACCAGCCAGTGCTGTGTATAACGACAGTTTCCCAATGGGTATTCCCATACCATATGCTCCCAAATCACCCAAACCAAGAATACGCTCACCATCAGTAAATACGATAGCCTTTACGATCGGTTCAGGCCAGTTATTTAGAATCGCGAGTGTATGATGTCGATCGAGGTCGTCGAAATACTACACTATAGCGTTGACAAGCTAAACCAACAGTTGGTGTATATATCAACGGCATACATTATTCCACATGCTCAATAAAAAGCTTATAAAATAAAGCCTCGTTTCGGTCTTGTAATGAAGTAAGATAAACGTAGCGCTGCAAATTATCGTTCATATTCTTTAGATTGGCCATCATTTTTGAGACCTGTTTGTCCAGAGTCAATACAGAAGTTGAGAGTAGCCCGTGTATACCGAGTAATTGTCGCTCATTAAGAGTGAATGCAGTTCCTCGATTTGTTCTCGAATCCCGGACCACATCGATACCGTGAAGCCGAATAAAATTTGGATCTTGTCCACGTACCGAATAGTTTGCATGCCTATAAACGATTTGGTTCCGTTGAAAGGAGAAAAGCTACAAAAGCTTCCTCACGGTGAAATACTTCATATAACGCCTAGAATCACTAACATCTACTAACACGGCCGAAATACACACCCGCAAAGAATTTAAAAATCACACCTCCCTCAAAAACTTGAGAATACATGTATCACTAACCTACCCCTCCCCATTCACCCAAAAATTTATGAGCGACAACCAATGACATGCTCACCTCTTTTTCATTGTAAACATTCAAAAGAGCTGCAGCATAGTTCTCCTCCTTCATTGGAGGTAATGTATGCACCGCAGGTGTGTATTTCTTTTCCAAAGGTTTCTCATCCTTCACTAACGGAATCCCTACAAACCCAGGCAACGGATATTTTGGATTGACAGCTTCTATTGGTCCAAGTTTAGTATTCGGCCATTTTTTAGTAGAATTCGAGTTGGAAACAACGACTAAAAGTCGATGAACGTGAAACCCACATACCAACGTTGACCAACTTCCCATTCTCCAAATCAGAATGTGAATTAAACGATGAGCGGAACTGCCTCAATAAACTGGCGAATCCTTTGAATTTACTACTAATCGGCCTTGACAATAGCATAGTGAGAGTCCACAGTAGAGTACCAATTAACCAACCGCGTCATCAAATAGTTCAAATGGTTGTGAATAGAATAGAGGGATACTGTATTTAAATGATTCCTGATCTAAAAGAACGGTATCACCGATGTCTTCTAGTAGAAAATATGTATTTTCACTAGTAAAAGAGAAATTATAGTAGGTTAGAACACCTAGGCGCGCAATTTGATAGAAGGAAGTAAAATTTTCTACGTGTTGAGACATTAGATTTATCTTGCGTTTATCGTACCAGAAGTTAGATTACAATTCACGCATAACGCTTCAAGATCTATTTAAATCCACTTTTCAAAAACCATTTTATTTCAACTTTTACCGCCCAAGCTCCCAATTTTGGGGAAAATTTGAACCATTCTGGAAAAACTTTAGGGAAGCCGCTATGGCAAACTTTGGAGAAATGGCACTTAAACCCCAAAATTTCCCCAGACCTGTGGAAATTCCCCAAAGTTCCCCAAATTTCCCCCAAACATTGGTGAAACTCATTTGACTTCGGGAGTTTTCCCAAAATACCTCAAAATTTCCTTAAACTTGGGAGCTCGGGTGGTTGAAGTTTTTCGGTTGGTGAGTATCTTTGTAAACATATGTTGCAGTAAATAAATCCCCGAAATCGATAGCTCCATAATTCTTCGACATTTGATGCTCACCACATTGATTTTAATGGACTCACCTGACTGAAGGCGCTCGGTCACGCACCCATATCAGATAGCGAGTGGGAACGATGTGCTCAACTTCGGCAACTGCTAACCAGTTTAGAACAGTCACCTCTTGACATATTGATAACCTATCGGGTATTTCTTCGAACCTCTTCGCTTCTGACTCCAGATTTCATTAGGTGAGGACGTTTCAGCTGTAGGTGTTACTGCTTAATGTGTTGTCAAACTCCGAATACATGTGGTATCTTCAGTGATGAGCTCGGTAAGATCTGGTTCACCAGATCGTAAATTGTGTGTCTATTCCATTTTGAAAGTTTAAATATCATTGCTTTACCCTAATTTTTATATATTTTGATATTTTTTCGTATGTTCGGATATTTTCCCCCCTTGTTCATTCCTACGCTTTATATTCGTCATGACTGTACAGACTCCTAGGTTACTTAATATCAAGACTTTTACATCACCCTCATTCCAGATAATGTCATTCTGGCCCGGCAACATCGAAGTCTGACTCTGCTGCGCAGGAGCTAACTTCTACGAGCACGTCGTGAACGATTCACCTGCACGATTCCTCGCAATAGCGAAAGCACTACCACGCGATTTCAACAGGTACGTCTCACCTAGTATGTTTACTAGTGATGTTTCGGGACCTTATGAACTTTTAAAAAAGTCTGTTTTTAAACGCGGAAATCTAACCGAGTGATAAAGGTTAGAACGCGTCCTCAATAACATCGATCAAAAATGTCGTCGATGCGGTCAACCAATGTTTCTCTCCACTATTAGAGATTACGTGCAGTGTGATAGGTACAAGGGATGGTATCACAAATTATGTTACTATCTATCGTCGGACGTGTGCAAACGTCGTTACAAATCTAAAATCAGAAGTGTACTACCAATGAGGTTTTATGAGTTCACGATACTAACGTAATAACACTTGACGAGTCGGTTGGAGGCGGCAAGCAACAAAAAGGACCTTGAAGTTAGCACTCGAAGATTATGACAAAGGGAACGTTGTACCAAATGACAAGATCAGAAGAAGATCAGAATACCATGTCACTACCTTATTGCCTTAATGCTGAATAAGTTGCTGCTATATTGGAGCTAAGGATATTATGGTTACCCAGTCACAATTGAACTGAACACGAATAAGAAAATTCGTAACCAGAACATATAAATCACCTAAACGATTCAAAAAGGGACTGGATATAATATCAGCAGTATCAGTATGAATCGATTATTTTTAGATCAACGTTTATGATTTCTATCGAAGGATTGAAGGCTCGTGTTAGACGGGAATGGTGTAAGCAACACCTAACGTCGAAGTAACACCTGGCAGTCAGCACCTGACGTGGATTACCCCTTCGTTGCATCAAGGTCCTATGTATATTCTGGAGACGGTACAACACAAAGAACGTTGTTAGTTAAAGTAGGTAAAAGCGAAGGCGTGACCACCACCACATGGGCAAGTTCTTGGCGTATGATTAATTGATGTGCGTTGGCTGTCCTTGACTTTGACAGGGGTCGATGATTTGTTCGATAATGAGTGACTCACATGCCGGACGGTTTGGTTGAGGCTCAGTGACATATCACTGACCCTACATATTAACGACCGTAGTTTTGGAAAGATGTGGCTTCAAACTCAACAAAATAACAGTGAACTTTGGTCAACTGTCCAATCAAATTAGACGTTCCTCTAACTTTCAAAACCGACAGCTGAACGTTGAGTGGTTAAGGAGAGATGATTAATCAACACTACAACTTGTTCCATATGTCAGCGGCCGTACCATATACCTTCTTTATTTCTACCTAGTTTAGACAATATTTCTAGTTATATTTTGTCTGTTTGTTGAAGGTACCTAGAACCAGACTACCCGAGTATCGAAATAAGCCAGAATGGTAGGGAAAGTTATTGAATGATATGAATTCGATATAAATATTGAGTGGTTCAGTCAACCACACCATTCTAGTTAACAAGTATAAACGAAGGCTAAGTGAAGGGTGTTAATGAGTTTCATAACGTCAGTTAGGATTGATATGAAAAGATGAAAAGGCAAAATCAAACTTCTTTACCCATTGTGAGTTTTGTTAAACATTACTTCAGTTTTCATTCAGTGTGACGACTACTCAGAGTAGCATTTATTTTTGCTTTTAGTGTGATATTTTATTCGGTATAGCATTAATTTATTTGTGTGGTGTGTTTGTTCAAGATACGATATTCCTGTATTAAATTAACGCAACGAATGCTCAGCATGACATTCAGCATATGATTTGTTATAACTTCAAGCATTTTCTGTATGAGATTTCATCCGAATTATTAATCGAAATGAGTGAAAAATCAATATATAAGTGAGTGTATTTTCCACTAGGTCGTCGTTGTCGTGTTTTGATGTTAATAATCGTCATCTGTACCAGTTTTGATGTTCTTACTTCGTCTAGTTGGAATTGCGATGGTTCATCGTTGTACAGGTATAATTATTAGGCGATTCATACATAACAGTCAGCGACGTGTATTCAAAATAAGTTTACGCAACTACCATGTGTTCACAAAAGAATAATCTGAAAATCATTCCGAAACGTCTTAATTGCTCTGTCTAGCTCCGAAAATAAAATTCAGCTAGAACAAATTTATGGTCCACGTGATATTAGCCGAGAAAGCTATGGGGACTCATATTCAGAAAATAACTGGAGCAACACGATAAACCCAAATGTTAATCAAAATCAGTGGAGGACAGAAACTTATATCAAACCAAATTATTTTATTTCTCATGGCAGTGTACCAGATATGGGTTCATATAATCATGCACATAATTTTGATGAGATTCCTTATAAAAATGAGGAAAGTATATCGACTGAGTCAAATGATGGTCAAAAGTATAATTTAATTTTGTTAGATGCTTATTTTCTTAATGACTCATTATCTACTAATGAATTTGAAAATAATGATTCAAAAGAACCAAACTCTGACCTCAAATCAAAGGTCGTTCATTATCATCTAGTCATTTTATAATGGATTCTCCATTCAATACGAGAAACATGGTTTAAACAAAGTCCTATTGATTGTAATTTGGAGACATAAGGACCCAACATTGTTTCGCCGAGGAGACTGTCGGAGAATTTAAGGTTACATATTTTTTTAAAAATCAATCTAAACTTGGGATCTTCTCAAAAAAGTGGTGTGTTATATCCGAGTAAAGATTAAATTACGGGTAACTTACGAGGACTATTGATGGACTAATATTCTTTAAATATTCTTATTGTATAACTATTCAGCAATTATTTTGTTAAGTCTAATGGTGTCCTTGGACTTTAAGTGGACATTTCCCATTGGTCAATATTTATTTCACTTGTCAAATATTGTGCAAATGTTATTTTCTATTTTATGGTACGATGTAGTCTGCTTGATAGGTATATAAACAGAGTATGTTCGAAATACATTGTTCGATCCGATTCGGTTCATACTGCGGAAGCTGGTATTGTGTTTTGGACTCAAGTAGACGGGCTAGGAGGACCTAGGACTAATAAGGCGCTAGACTGCCCACACCGGTTGAACGACATTGGTTGACCTAGTGTGAAGATTCGTATAAGTCGTATTCGGATTGGTGAATAATTCGTGTGATAGAAAAGCCAGACACCAAGGTCATAACAGCTATGTTCATCATTTTTAAATTGTTATATACCTCACCAATCTGTATGTTATCCTGATCCGTCAATGAGTTGCATTATATATCTATGTGTTTCCAATTTAAAAATAATTCGGATCGCCTTTAACATTTTTCAATCATAGTCGTTATTGCTATACGTATTTGGGTTCATGAATTTGTCTATCACACTAATAGCCTAAGATGACGAACATAGTTTAGATAATAAGGTCTTTGAATTTAGGTACTAGTGTACTGGACTAAAATAATAACTAAAGCATCATGTAGTTGCTGGCTAAGCAAATATTAAAAATTATAACTCTGTAGTCGACTATTGAAATTGACATTATGTAGATGAATATTTCTAAATTACATTTAGTAATAAAATTAGGATTCGTTAACGCTACGAATTTCTGATAATTTTGAATCACCTCAAACATCAATACCTATTATCAAGCAGCACTACAACTAGTTAAACATATCGTCATAAAGCGTTGTCATGACTTGACAATCACGTTATATGATTGATAAAATAGGTGAAACTATTGACAAAATTGGCCAACAAATTGACGTATCATTATCATTAAATAGTGTTGTTTTCTTTTTATTTTCATCCAATACAGATGATTGCAGTGTTACTCTATCAGTTGCTCACTCAGTAAATATCTTAGTTCTTT